AGTGTCCAATAATAATCATCTAGATTTAAATTTCCAGATAATAGTTTAATATGCTATAACATGGTATCTGAATTTGTAAGGTACCTAATCCCATAAAAAATTACTAGAAAATCAATTTTGTGAGTAGCAAAACAAGGGTCAGGAAGTAGGGTCAGAGTGGCAATAACAATGTTACTTTTTCTATAGAAATTTCTACTTAAAAAGTGTGGATCAAAAGGCACACACGTATTTTGTTGCTGTAAACTAAAAGTAATTCAGTAATCAAAACTGGCCAAGGGCTTCCTTATTTTTCCCTTCCACACATTCAGTTACTTCTACTCCTCCTCCACCACTTTCAGACTTCATTCTCCAATTTTGCTTTCAGAAGGGTTCACAACTGCCAACGAGGAACAAAAGAACTCAAGAATACATGTGTAAACATAAGTATCACAATGCCAACAGAGCAGTCCTCAACTTAAAAGTAGTGGGAGGTACCGTGCTTCTCAAAAGCTTCTTCAGGGCTAGTTCTGATCATGACTTGTTATCTCCTTATTTGCCCCTATAATGTGATGGTGTTTTCTGATAAACCTATTATATTATACACAACTGGTGCTTTGAAGATAGTAAGAGACTGTCAGCATTTCTCAAGCTTTGGGAAATAGAGGTATAAAAGAGAAAAGAAGTTGTAAATGCCTATAAAATTTTTCCTCTTAGAAAGATACTGCATCATTCTTGATTCTAAGAGAAATACAGCTCAAATATTTTTCAAGACTTAAATTTGGTAATAGTAGAATACAAATAGGACATAACAGTTTCCAAATCATTAAAAGAAAAAATTTCACTATTTTAATAACCACAAGAGAAAAGGAAACTATTAGGAAGCATTGACAAAAAATATAGAATAAGGTTATAAAACAGACTTTAAAAATGTTAACAATGGTTACCTCAAGATTTTGATATCAGACGTAACTTTTTTACCCTCCTAAATTTTTTTTACAAAGAATATGCATTATTTTTGAAGCACGAAGAAACATCATATAAAAACTCACTCAGATAAAACTAAAAGCAATTATCAAAATTGTCTTCAAGGGTATAACACCTCAAAGCATGTATTTCAAAAACCATGTGATCAAACTTACTGGTTCATAAACTAGACCATCTGCAGATGCAACCATTGTTTCTGCTAAATCCAATACATCTGCTCCAACATCTGCATACAAAAACAATTAGAAGTTTTTACATTCTATGACCAGAGCCAAAGTATATCTGATATAAACAAATTAAGACTAGCAGAGAACTCACAAAGTATGTAGAATCACTTGACAATCCAGAATCCCATGATAAAAAGCAAAAGCTTTACTGAATTAAAGAGTTTTACAAAACTGACAAGAACTTAATCACAGATACTAAACGGCTGCTGAATAAAATGTTAATTACAAGAATTATTTTTACATGTTAAAAGAAATCTTATGGCAAAGCTATTGATGCCTTTTAAAAAGTCAACAAATAGGAAATTTTATTTTGAAAAAGCTAAAATTTTAATGGTATTCAAACATCCAAATTAAGCAAAATATGATATATTCAGTATTAACACTAACTCAAAGTTAGATATAAAGTGTTTCTTTATCTCTTAAAACCACTAATGTAAGAAAAAATAAATGGAAAAGGAAAGAAATTCAAGGTTGTTCTGAGATGAAATCTCACAGAAACTAATCTTAATTGGGTAAAATTATTTCAAACTTCAAAAAATTTTGTCTCAACTAATGAGTTCTTCATGTGTAATTTCTAAGCAGTAACACAAGATACTTTTCATGCAAAAGCATTCTTATTTTTGAGAATACTGATTCAAATGTTATCTATCTGGCATATTAACATTTTTCCACTTCTACCAGTATAACCATTGAAGCCAGTGAAGAAAAGAACTGGATCTGTATCTTCAAATGCAAAAATAAAAGTAAAGGGTGGTAAACTGAAACAGAGAAACATGATATGTTTGTGGAACATAGGTGTAAAAACTGTTACTCCAAATAAGAAAAAATTGAAGGATATATGTAAACTCCATCTCTGATTCACAAAAAT